ACGGCGAGTACTGTATGTATCCCAGAAGTTCGAGCGCTCTGGGTCCAAAGGGAGTGAAGTTATGAATTTTCATTCATTTTTCATTTTCATTCAATTTCAGACAACACAACCGCTTAGCCGATTATATATAGTAGGAGGATGCTGAGGAAAGAACTATTTGAGGTATTTTCCCTTCCCATATTAGCATAAAAGGTCTAAAATTGAAGTGTTATGTTTCGACGCGTTCCTGTAGTTGATTATGTTCCAATCATTGGAACAAGCCAACCGAATTTGTGCATTTTTATCGAGTTCTGGACTTCGGCAACCAAATGTTTACCATGTCGTGGAAGACACTCTGGGGTTCCATCGCAAGACGTGAGCTCTTGCCGCATCGCTTCCATTGACGCGTTTTCTGGGTTTTAGAAAGAGGAGCAGCCAAATATGCTTTCAGTCAAAGACGATTTTCTCAGCCATAATCGCTGTGAAAAACGACAGAAATGCTATGAATAGATCATTGACTAGGGTTTACACATGTTTCACAAGAATTTAATCAAAGATTTTACAACATGCAGATCGAGATGGCCAAAGACTTTTCCGACAATCTAATAGATAATAACTGGAGGTAAACAAGATTAATCGAGTTCGAGCTGCCCCTACTTCTGTTGTATGTTTATTTCTGTCTGTGCTGCACATCGCACCTGCTTCAACAGTCAAGGGTGGCGAGTACTCATTCGATTGAAAATCAAAAACGACGCGTGTCAAATTAATGACGGTATGGCTTGCTGAGGGCTCAAAGGAGAACGTAGTTGGAGAAGGCTGGTTCAGCCGTAAATCAATTATACCTCGGCGTGTAGTTTATCCTCACTCCTTCTGACGAAGGCCTTCGTGTTGCGGATATCTTTTTTCTCGTCCAAGCAGCGACACTTGCCGTTCACAAACTTAGCATCAGCGTGGCATTTCTCGCTCCCATCATCTGGGCTGACGTCTGGGGGAGTACCTAGTAAGAACGGTTTGAAATTTAGTGAAAATATGTGGAGAAAACGAACGAAAAGGAGAAAGGGAGTTGTATCGAGCTACTAAAAGCTTCTTTTTGCGAAAAACAGCACACAGCGAAGACTCGCTGCAAAGCTGGTATGAGTGGTTCATAATTGCTACCCATGCTTTTAAAATTCACTAGGATGATGTCCTTAGTAAATCGTAATCGAAAGCTGAAGACATTTTGAAGGTATGTGGTTCTGCAGCTGCAGTGGATCTGTACCCCTTTTAAAAGCGGTCGACTATGCACCGGCGAACGGGTGTTGGGAAGAGTCCCCTATTTTCCAGCCCGTCTAAATATTTCCTCATGGTCATAAATTGACATAGGGACACCTATAGCCTAATTAGAGTATGTGCATGTATTTGCCACCTTAGGAATCACTAATTTATATAGAATGCTGAAAGTGCGAATGTCTCGCCATTACAAAATAATTGGCTTGACGAACCAAATGTGCAGACTGTGAAGAGACGAGCGTTGTTAGGGACATCAACGAGGCCATTTTGTGTGTATGCGAGTGCTACACGCGGCATATCAGCACACGTTCTGTCTGGAAATCCCATTGCCCAGAAGCTGGCGTTTTTAGCAGTCTGGAAGTAAATCTACACAGCATGGAAAGAACTCAAAAATATTGACACTCAAGTAGAGAGCCATTTTTGTAACCTTTGTGTGTGCTGGTCTTTCTAGCCTGTAGGTCCTTTTACATTATGGCTCACAATCCTCATTGAAGAATACAATCGAGAGAAATCGCTTCTATTGGATATAAGAAAAGAGCAGGTGGCTCGTCAGAATAGCACTTTTTAGCAGCACCTTATCAACTTTTCGACCTTTTCAGTCCCTGATATTTTGGAATCACAAATCACTCACAGCCAATTTCCTGGAGGCTTTTCAACAGTTTGAAGCACTTTTGGCTCAATAAAAACTCCTAGCAGAACTTTCTCATCGTCGGTAATCCAACCACCACCAACATTTTATCTTCGAGGTTCTGCCTTTCCAGATAAAATTTTAAAAAAATCACTCAAAAATCCAAAATAAAAAAATGATCACTACTGCACAGATTCTTATCGAGGATTTGAGCACGAATGTACCCTCGATGTCGCGGCCTGAATCCGCTTTTTTCTGACTAGTTCATGGAAATCGTTCAATTTCTCGAATATGCTGCATTTGAAAGTATGGAATAGAGAGAACGACGGGGTTTCACTTTAATGCCGGCAGCAAGTTTAGATAGAGTGGGAAATGCGATCTTGAATACTTGACAAAGCGACATCAGCCTACTGAAAAATAATCACTAGCCTATAATATATTATATTGTTGCAGTGAAAGTGTCGTTTTTGGATGTGCATAAAATTCGTTGACTGAGCGTTGCGATTTTGTCTGATGTATCCTCCGAGATTATGCGCCACATTCAATCGAGGTCCAGTCGATAATGCTGGTACTTTCACACTTCTCTTCATTTAAAGGCAAAGTTCGGGCTCAGACCCACCTAAGAAGCCCTTACCATGGCTAGAAGTGCTGGGTACGCAAGTGCAAAGGTAGCGCCACCTTTCTACATCGAAACGCGTCACTAGGACCCTAGGCGCCATGGACTTCTAACAGACTCCACCAAACTTAACATGGTCCGCCCACCGTTCGATATCTTGTCTGCGTCGCTGCGTTGATCTGCTATGCTCTCTCTTCTCGGACTTCTCTACCGCTCTCCGCGCTCACATTATCTCTCATCTCCCTGCCTGTCTTTTGAACTTCTCCACAGCAGAGCAAAATGCTCGTATTTCCTGTGTATTTCAGGATTTTCTTTCCTTTTTTCTCCACTGGCGGTCCACCTCTCATCCCTACTTTCACATTTGAGTGGAATCAGTCCATCAATATAAACCTGATTCTTGCCTTTTTTCGTTACAATATACAGGGTGCAGTAAAATTACAGCGACAAAGCATGCGCTACAACTTGATAACTCATTCACTGAACGCTGCAAGAACTAAGGAATTGAACACCGTGGGGAAGGCGTGCTTCTGTGACGACCATGGGCAATCTTATTGTTAGCGTGGTGCGCGATAGAATTTGCAGGCAGGCGCGCTCGCCTCTCCGATGGCCACAAGAAATGGATATCGAGGAGAATACCGTGGAACCAGTATGCAATCCTCAGCTTTATAAAACATTGCTGAACCTTCCTGCTGTGAGGTCCAGTAGAGTTTCTCAAAGCTCAGGACTTCATATTCGTTCCTTAACGAGGTAGGTCTTTTAGGGGAAACCGCGCTTTCTCAAAATGGTTTTGTGTATTTTATAGAGGGAGGTGCATAGAGTAAAGAAAATGGTAAAGTAAATGGACATGAATGGCCCTCTGTAAGCCAATAAGGGAGTGAAAATATTATTATTTCGTCGGAAACTGCAGTATTTACAAATTCAACGTGGTGTGTTTCATTCATGGCGTGGACTACTTGCATAATGGAGGGACTTCCGCGGGCCGTGTAATGAAAACAAAGTGAACCTGGTCAAAATCGGAAAATTGTCGTAGCGATATCATGGTGTGAGAGCGTAAGGAAATTCCATAAGTGCATTTGGCCGCATGGCATACGTGCAGCGTCCGTGTTGAGGGGTAGCAATGTCGACTACAACTGGCACGATGGGGCGGAGTATGTGGCCCTCGGGCGCAATGTCTTTGGAATTTCCTGTTGGTACTCCAAATTGCTCTAGTGCCAAAATGGATGTCTTGAGGCCGGAACCATTTATAACCCCGATGAGAACAAGTTCTCACTGAAAGCAGACAAAAAAACTTGCAACGTCGAAATGGTGCGACATAGCGACGGCTCCAACAAACTATGCCATATTTGTGAACAAAGCACTGATTTACCAAATGCAGCCGAAGTTTTTGAGAAAAATCGCATCTTCGGCCTATTCAAAAATTTGCACCAGACATAAGTAACTAAGTCGCTGTCGCTAGGAGGCGAGCCCGTGCAATAATAGAAGTATAAAAGTTACTACGACATAAGTTAGTAAAAGAGTAACCACTATGGTAGATTGACTTCTAAAGTGCTACAAGAAAAGTTTGGGAACAAAAATATTTGCCTGTCGGCAACTTCTTTAGAAAAGGTTCAGCATCTCTAATGAAGCACAAAGCTCGTGCGATGTCACGGTATCATTATTCCCGATAAAATTGAGTTTGAAGACAGTTATCAGTGTTTAAGTGTTGAAAACCTGCGTTTTCAGGAGAGTAGCTCCGAAAATTCGTGAAAAAAGAACGGTCCAACGGAGCGATTCTTTGACTCCTTCGACTTTAGAAGGAGCTCAAGTATTCAATGGAAAGCTCTAACCTTCTGCTTCAATTCAGGGGGATAAGAACTGCAAAAAGTTCAATCTGAAGAAAGTTATAACAATTTGAAGCCAAAAAACCTGCGCTCTCCAAAAAATCGGTCCACGATTTCCCAAGAACGGTCCAACGGGGCGATTTTTTGACTCCGTCAACTTTGAAGGAAAGTTCAAGTACACGTTGGAAAGCTCTAACTTTCTTCTTCAACCCAGGGGGACAATAATTGCAAAAGGTGGAATTTGAAGAAAGTTATAGTAATTGAAAGCCAAAAAACCTGGTCTTGCGAAAAAAACGGTCCAACGGGGCGATTTTTTGAGGAAAGAATTTTGCAAAAGCTAGAGCACTTTTTAGAAAGAAAACAGTCTGACCTTTCCAAATTTTCTTACCGCTCCTCATAGTTCCTTCTTTGAAGAAAGTTACAACCTTTCAAATGAAGAAGTGCACATTTCTGTAAATTCTTTGTTTTCTACCCCATAACCGACGTACTTTTGAAGATAAGGCATAATAGATGTGATCCTCTGAAACAAGCAGTTAAGTAGATTACAAATCCCTTAGCAATTTGAAAAATATTGATATTGAACAAAATTACGCTCATTTGAAAGTCAATAGTCTGTTTCCCGCGACCCGCGCTGCGCCGAGGGGGAAGATTGCGCGCGCCAATGCGAACGCAACGCTACCGTGCTCCGGTCGGACACTTCTGCTGTATACTCTCACGCTCTGAGATGCGCCATGCATTCGTTTGCAACTTGAAATCATTGTGAATATCCCCTTTTGATGCGTTTGCATATCGATGGAAATTTTTGTGATTCTGAACGCCAAGTCATGAAAGGCAGGCAAAGCGCCATTCAAACTAATGGGCAGTACTGTTCAGCACCTAATAAAGGCAATCCGTTTTGCGATGTTATGCATAAGTAAATTAATAGATATCAGGAAACTAGAGTTCGTCTGCTACTGTGTTTGAATTCAAGCCAAGTGTCCTTAGATATTTTGTAGATTGCACTTACTTCCCCTAGTGTTAGCTTTTCCTTACAGTGTACCGTACATAATAAGGGGGGGGGTCGTATGGAGACTCTCGAAGAGGGGGGGGTCGTAAAAATTCTGAAATCGGTCCAACGTGACGGTTGACCCTGGCTGGCACGATGGGGCGGAGTATGTGGTCCGGGCCCTCGGGGCGCAATGTCTTTGGAATTTCCTGTTGGTACTCCAAATTGCTCTAGTGCCAAAATGGATGTCTTGAGGCCGGAACCATTTATAACCCCGATGAGAACAAGTTCTCACCTGAAAGCAGCAAAAAAAGTTGTAACGTCGAAATGGCGCCAGATAGCGGCGGCTCCAAAAACAATGCCATATTTGTGACCAAAGCACTGATTTACCTCTATAGCCGAAGTTTTGAGAAAAATCGCATCTTCGGCCTATTCAAAAATTTGCACCAGACATAAGTAACTAAGTCGCTGTCGCTAGGAGGCGAGCCCGTGCAATAATAGAAGAAAACTACTACATGACAAGTAGCCCCTCCCATCCATCCTCAGCTGGGGTGTTTGCTATTGTCCGTTTGGTAGGAACATTTCTCATTTCTTGAGAAAGACCTAGAGGGCGTCATTTCCAAGGAACATCACCTTCGAGCCAAACGTGCTACAGAGTTACTTACTTATGGGGCGATTTTTCGAAATTGGTTCAAAATCTTGGATTTCTCGGAGGCTTGAATGCAAGGGTTATCAGGTGCACTGCTAACAAATAGGACATTCATTTTCAGCTACGACGTCATTGTCGACTCCTATGACGCTGTTCCACCACGTTGGTGCCGTCACAACTTTCTCCAACCTATTCTCAGTACACTCCTACATAAGGATTTTTTGACACCTAAGTATAGATGTGACATCAACTCCTTAGCCTTAAATCACAAAGCAAAAATTTTGTCACCGCGAGGAACGAACCATGGACTATATTCCCATTCCTTTTTTGGCATACAGAGGTCCATTTAGCGGAACTGGACCGCAGTTCTGCGCTCTATGCACATCCCTCCATATCATGAGAAAAGACATTTTGAAGAAGCGCGGAC